TTGATGCCTTGTTTGACCTACGAACATTAAATTCTCCGGTTTGACAGAGAAAACGCTGACAAGTAGATGAAAAAGGTTGACAGGCGATGAAATTATCCACAAGCTTTCTGTTCTTTTTCCTATTTCCGAAGTTTCAAGACTATAAATTTAATATGTTTGGCCTTTTGAAAAGTTGGTTCAACAACATCGCCACTTAGAAACCGAGTCTCGCAGACTACAAATATCACAAAGTCTGACCGAATCATAAATAAAAATTAAAATTTTTGCATACCAAGTCATCGAAAATGTCCCTTTGATGCACCATGATAGTGATAAGGGTCTCGAATTTGGTTCGCTGGAGGGAGCTCAGGTTCTTTGTGGTCTCGGTAATGAGGAGGTTCAGTACATCCAAAAAGTGCTTGTTTGTCTTGACCATGGCCTTGGGCTCGGCCTTGGCCTCCTTCAGGGCTTCGGTGGCATCCATTGTCCAGATTATTTGCAGCCCAATAATGCCGATTTGAGCCAACTGGGCTGTGAAAAATTCGATCAGCTCGCAAGCTGGGTCCATTATTAAGAAACTAGCCTTCTGGATACTAAGGTGCATTGACAGACGACTAGTGCGAAGTAGTATAGTCAACCAGGTCTCTACCTGTCCTTCACATTTGACAGGTTTGAACATCTACAAGGAGATAAAACCGACATTATTTTCCAAAATGCTCCAATAGAATATTATGGTTACTTTGACTAACTTGGTGCCTTTCCGCAAGTCAATGTCGGTTTTGAATATTACAGGATCGGGAGTTCATTTGTAGAATGAAAACGAAAACTGTAATGTGTGTGAAAATTGCCACTAGCTCATGTGCTCTTAAGTTATGAATACCTCCTCTTACCTGTACGCATTATCGGCTATTGAGCAAAACTTACATCTAGCCGTTCGCCTTCACTAGAGAAGGCTGCAAGGATATCGAGGGACTTGTCAGAAAAGAGAACGCTTTTGGTATTATCGAAGATAGCCAGTAAGTGAGGTTGAATAGCAGTGGGATCAGATGCCTGACCCAGAATCTCCAGCAAGACTGGATCAGAGATGAAAAAGAATCTTGGAAACTTGAGACGCTTCTTCTCCAAATAGCCCGACAGGGACTTCTGACACACCTCAAGTTGGTTCAGCAGGCGTGGCAGAATCTCCGTTAGCGCACCGTCCCCAGCGCAGCAAGCTATGACACCAGGATTGTCGCGTGCCCGATCCATGACCTTAACCCATGCTTTATCCACAGTCTGAAACCGCTTGGCCTCTTGTGGAAGTTGTTTGGCGATGTCGCCACCGACAAACACCGCTTCCAGGTAGACCCAAAGATTCTGCACACGCATCCAGTTCTCAAGAACTTCGCTGGTGACGCTTAACTTCTGAACCCACTCTTGGATGGGTTTCTTGAAAGGCACATTGTACCTAAGTAATAATAGGCATTAAATGGTTAGTGAGGCCTGGACTGCACAATATAGTATGTGTTTACTGTGTCAGAGGACCGCCACCCTAAATTAATAGACTTGAAACATTTATTTACCTTACTTCGTAACGCATCCGTACATTCCCTTTAACCCGGCTTGAAGGCGGTTAAGGCCAAAAGACTACACTTGAATATTCCAAACAAGAACTTTAAGACTAGGTTGGTACTGTTACAATTCAAATAATCATGATGGCTCAGGGGACTCGCATACTGCATGCTCGCAACTCACAGGAAAATTTAATTTTGGACGACCTGCAAGCTGAGTGTTAGCTTCTGATACAGTTTTTCCCATTTATCTCACTTCTACGTAACCACAATACAATTTTTAAATGTAGGATAGTTACACTGATGTCACCTATTAGAATTATCTACTTGGCTAAAGGTTTCAATTAAGAGATAGGATGAACAAACCTATTACTCATAAGCGAGCCGAGAATCATCAGAGAGTCTTCCAGCAATGGCATTATTTCAGACACTCTATCACCCTTCAGGAGGAGTTCACCTCGCGACTTGAAAGGCGCAAGTTTCAATTCTTGATTGGTCCAATCAGCAACAACGGCAGTAAGTTTTGCCTCAATGTCCTTCTCACGAACAGCGGAGATGCAAATATCTTCGACGTCGTCCTTGGACTCCAGCAATGGGGCATCGAGCATAGTTTTTAGAGTGAAGCCTTCCGACTCAACGTCAAAACTGTAGTTAGTGAGGGCAGCGAGGCGTTGCCAGTGACGCGGCTTCATGGCTTTGTTGGTCATCATCTCGAGAAGAGGAACCTTCTCGTTGAAGTCGTTAATAGTTTTCTCCAAATCTGTGTAGGCTGGCCAACTTTTAAGTGCCTTTGGTAAACGTTTGCACCTAAAAAATTATAAAGGATGCGCATATTCTCTCCCTTTGAGGCAGTCTACGGTGGTCTTTAAATACCAAATAGATTAAATTTGTGCTGCTACCAGGCTGGTGGTCCAATGAGTTTCACTGTGTGAAGAAGAAGCTTTACACATTAGCAATAACTTGAGACTGGTAACCCCATCTATTAACATTACTTAAATTTACACAGTCCCATAGAAATTAAAACAGATAAGTGGTCGAACTGAGCGACTTTTGTGCCCGCGGTCCCGGAGTCTCGATCCCGGAAGCAACCACTTTGACTGCACAGGAAGCTTTAGTTGGGACACAAATGTGTATTACACTAACCCAGAAAAGAAAGCTCGAAAATTCGGGGTACATCAATGCGTGTACTTTTCCTTATTTTCCTTAAGTGGACGATCGTGATAATGTAGACTTAGTCAGTAGAATAACCAGACCCAATGAAGTTTAATAACTTCTAGCGATGTGCAGACACTGTAGCGGCGGTGATTAAACCATGGAATTTTATTCAAATTTATGATTTTTCATGAAATACACGACGAAAACGATTTGGCCTTCAATTCTGTTTGGCTACCTTGAGAGGACGATTTTTCAAGCGACTGTGATTTTTCACGCTAGCCCATAATCAACACCGATGGAATCCCCGAAAGTATGGTAATGATTCCGGAGCCCATGTTTCGTGTGCACGCACGCACACCAACGTGCCTGCTGTTAAGACAATGACCTCAGTTGTGAGAGGGAGCAAAGGGGACAGGGTGCGGGTTATCGCGCTTGCAAGAAACCTAAGGTGATAAGTGGTTCACATGACCACCTAAACGCACTGGACTTGGTATGAGAAACAGCCTACTTTTTCTGAAAGTCTTCCAGATCAGCGGCAATTTTCTCCATGTTGACATCTCGCCAGATAATGTCATAGTAGCCACTGACGGTCTTATTAACCTCATTGTAAAGCCCATAAAGCCTCTGCAGCAATTCCAGTTCCTTGCCAATCTGTGCTATACGCGAATAATCCGATATGGGCAGGCCGAAGAGTTGCTCGCCCTTGTTAGCGGTCACCACCTTACGGGTTAGGTTGTCATGGCGGTTCTTGAATTGGATTTGTCTGTCCAATGCAACTTGTGGCATCAGCCCTGGGACCATTGGTCCCTTCTACAGAAATTTAAAAAATGTCACAAGAAAAGAACATATTATAATATCCCAGGGTCAATGTGTTTGACTCAGTAGCTTTGAAATGTATCACGTTTGCTTCGATCCATTTATTGAAGCTCCATTTGTAGCCTGAAACTCACATTGAACACTGTGTTTTAACGAAGCCTGCGACCTTACAGCCTTGACTTGGTAGTTAAAGTTTGACTGCATTTACTTTCTCATAACTAATAAACGTGATCGTGGATTCAATGCATTCAGAAACACTGAAATCGTAAGTAATCTGTTATGTCAAAAGCTCCTTCGGGTTCCAGATGATTAAACAAATCTAGGTGAGGATGATTTTCAAAGACATTTATTTTGCGTAATTAAGAAAAATAACTTCAAAGATTCTAAAGACTAGAATTGGCGTAGTTTATAAGCTGGTGGCCTGTGATGCTTTGTCTAGAATAGAGGCAGTTGCACCGGTGCGACCAGCTAATGTAAGATAACGCTTCATCTTTTCTTACCTCGTCATAGTCAACCTCAAATTCTGCAACCACCTGTCTGAGAGCCGTGATACTCTCTAGAAGACCATCTTTATAGTCAGCTTGGATGCTTAGAATATGATCCAACTGTTGCAGTGCTTTTTCCTTTATTCTGAGGTAGGCGTAACGGACTGACTCGACACGATCAGCCAGCTCCTTAGGAAAGGGCACATTGTACTTGGAGACAAGATTCGATGCATCCTAAACGCGATGCATGCATTTAATGCCACTAAATAATAACTTCGGCAGATTAAAACAAATCACTGACTTCACACTGAATAAGTGACATGTCGAGATCGATATCCTTCTCTCGTATGTCAGCTAGAGTTTCCATGACGAAAGCAATGTCGTCGAGGTTGACAACATGTTTTGTGAGGTTCCGATCCCACTCCTCTAGTTGATTCTGGATCTCATCCAGCGGTGCGATAAATTGACTAATGAAGGCTTGAACATAATTCTGTATGAAAACAAACATGAGTTCATTGCTAAGTCAGATTTAAAAATGCCAACTATATACACATTCATTTGACTGCTTTTAGTCCTGTAGCATAGTTAGAATGTTACTCTTTCGGTCCGCAGTTTATCAATCAAAGTATTCAACATCTAACGACCTCAATCGTTTAAAACCCAGCGTTTTATTATAATGCGTCTAAGTTAAAGCCATCCTCTAAATCTGAAGCAACGTTGATTTAAAGAGACAGTTGGGTTCCTCTGATCCTGTTACCATATGCAATGAGATCGGTGGAGTCTCGTGGACAAAACCACCTTTATTGTCTTCAGCCCCATACCCCCATAGTGTTTCTTTGCCGAATTGAAGCTCTTTAATTAACTAGGATTTTGCTTTTTGCTAATTGCCAAATTGTTTCTTTCAAGAAGATCAGTTTCGAATGATTGCATTCATTTCTAGTGAAACCAGGAAAGCAGTTAGTTAAGACTCAAAACTTAGAAGCAACGATATATACTAGGAGACAACATACCTTCTTTAGAGTGATGATCATTGCCTTAATCTTGCGTTTGAAATCATCCAAACTGATATAAAGAGGACCAACTACGTAGTGATCACACTCATTATCAACCTGTTCTTCGCAACTTCCAAGTTCCGCAAACTTCTTTTGGAAATCGTACATAGTGGGTTCCGTTTGAAGGAAGGATTCCATTTCAGCGGTGGTATCACTTTTATAGATATAGCTGAACCGATCCAAATAGGATGTGAGAGATTCAGTCTCGTAAATCGAACCTATGCACAGAGGAATGCCGCAAATTATTTTAGAAAACTTACATTTAAAAATCATTTATCTTATCGGTTACACTTGAATTTCCCAGCATGCCAAGTCTAGATGTTTAAGGCATTCTAGAGGTGACAGAAGTGACATTTCATAGGTTTTAATAGCTTTAACTATATTTAAGTCAAAAGAAGGAGGTTCGCAAAAAGAAATTCAGAAAGCAGAGTCATTTATGATTAGGGTAGTTAGGTATGTTTTGAAGAGAATAAGGATCGCTTGGTGTGCAAATCGAAACCTTCGTCAGGTGGTAAGTAGATCTATTTTGTCTACATTCTTTGCCGCAATGACAGATAAGATTTATTCCGTGAAAATACACGTATTGACCCCAAAAGAGCAAGTAAAATCTTGCCAGCTTACGTTTGTAGTTGGAAGACACACGAGAGATTTAATAAAAGCACCCAGAAGATGCTGCCATTTTTGAGTGAACCAAAACTCACCATCCATTTCAAAGACAATCATCTTCATTTGCTGCATGCTGGTCGATATGAAGCTGCGCAGACGATAGACCTCCCGATCGGCATGAACATCCTTGTACGTATTAAAGCGAAGGGCGTTGTCAGATTCCAGTACTAGACACGAAAGACCACGCAATATGCTGCTAGATTTGCAGTGTTTTGAAACTAGGATTATCCAATTGACTCACTTCTACTAATTTGTTTGGTAATAGATTGGTTGCGAGAAGTCCGAGTCTTTTTCTATAAATTAGGAACATTTTTTATAAAAAAACCAGGTAATTGGTTATATTTCCGGTTTTTAAATTAATAATGCAAGTCCACCATCATCGAAACAGACGCCCTATAATACTTGATGGCATTCCTGTTTGGACCAAACGGAGCACTTAAAATGAATTAAATTAGAATGCTAGGATAATTGTGGTGAAAATTCTCATCCAATGTTGCGATAAAAAACAATCAACTTCCCGTGTCTGATACGTTACCAATGACACCAGCCACACGTTGAATTAGGCGCAATAACCTGGTGTGTGGGATTGTCATTAACCATCTCATCGATGTTTAATGTCAGTTTCTCCGGGGTATTATTTCCCTTTCTAAGGTTAGACTCAATTATGTGTTTTCAGTGACATATTAGTGTTGACCACTAACTTCTAAGGTAAGATCTCCCTCTAAGACGCACAGTAAAATTTTAAAGTCTAAGTAACCACTCGTTGGGATATGACTAAGTGGTAACTAATGGCTTACAACTCCATCGGGAATTGTGGCTCCTGCGGCCTGGCCATCGGCGTTTCCAACCCCGTCCTCCTCGGCCCCTCCCCCAACACCCATGGAACTCCCTGAACCCGATGGCACACCTGGCGAAGCAGAACTTCCAGTCTCGCCTACTTCTGTTCGAGTGCTACTGTTCGAATTGGGCATTACCATGCTCACATTCTTGTTTTCCATCGCTAAAGAAGAGCAGAAGTAATGTATTGTAAGAAATCATAGGCAGACACAAAATTCAGTGGATAATTTACAATATCCTGTAAAATGAATTGCACAAATTGCTTGCACGATCAATTCGGTTATAATCAAGGCAATTGTTTAGACTCGGTTTAAAGGTTTAAGAGAGTCTATATGTGCGCTGCGTTTAATGTATTAGGAAGCTTAGGTCTCTTGGATTACTCACAGGTATGCGAGGTGCTGCCAGCGGTGAGGGAAGCGCCCTCGGGGGGATAGTCGTTCCCCTCTGCTCCGGCTTTGAGAGCATTCTCATTGATTTCGCGTTTGCGACCGTCAGAACCCCAAGCCAGGACACATTTGCAGCAACTCTCGATTCCGCCCACGATGCTGCGTAGAGCTGCCTGGATCTCCATCGGACGAGGCCAAATATCCACCTGTGTCCCTATAAGTCTAACATAGCAGCGGACCAAGGGACGTGGCTTTACGTTTTCTAAAACAACAAACAGGAGACCACAAATTCACTTCAGTGTTTTGGAGAAAGAGGGGATAATCTAAGCTAATATAACAAGCGTATTCACGTTAATGTTACACGCTAGTATACTTCGGGGTTATAGCACCGATGTGAAACAATCTATCGTCAAAATAATGCTTTGGAACCTGTCAATGATAATACCACCGAAAGCTGCTCTATTGATCCATTGATTGGATCTACTTGTTTTACCACTATTTAAAGTAACTTAAAAACTTTAGGGAATAAAACGGGAACTCAAACATTACAAATGATTCATACCAGTTTAACTTACTCAGTTTCTGAACAAAGGCGTTTTTTTCGATTTTTAAATATGTATTATTAACACTAACTTTGCATTATGATTTAAAATTAACTAATACATCGATGGGTATGCATTGCATGAAGATTTCAATGAGTCTTGTCCATAATTAAAAATAAGCCAACACTTCTTACTGGCATGTGATGTTCTGAAACAGCATGTGTGGTCATCAAAGAGTAGTATAAGCAATCTTGATTTGGATTTTAATTGACTAATACCACAGAGTGAACTTATTACGCATCAATGTATGACTGCAAATTCTTGTAAAAAGAGCCTCACATTCGAAAAACACATTCAACTTGTCAAGTTGCATTGCAATCAAATTTCTCTCTGGCACCCAAAGGACCCGAGAACAAATGGTGGGGATATTAAGGTAACACGACGGGACGGCCACAACCGTTTTATTCATCCTCAGGGCACGATGAGTGACTGTGGGCGCCCGTGTGTGAGCATGTTTGTGGTGGACTCGGGAACTGAGACCAGTGAATGGTAGGGGTGAGTCAGACAGACACCTATGAACTTGCGGTAAATCTGTTCGGACAGGCTTTTGCTCATCCGCCTTCGCGGGCCGCCTTCTTCAGGAGTGTGAGCGGGTCCATGAACAAAGCAGCCATTAGACGGCCACCGGCGACCAATTGGATCCGTGGTAATCACCCATGGAGATTATTTCCCAAAAATCTAATCTTTTACTTCGCGTTTTTCAAATAAAACTGGTTTTGAGCCGAAGAAGATCTAATTAGCCCTTCCTTAAGCCATAAAATTAGGCACATGCATATAGTGGATTTCTGCTCTGTTGCAAAGCACCATGGCTCTGGGTCGGTTTAAGTAACCTTGGTGAAATAAACGACATACTAATCTGGACCAGCCGTATGTCTGTTAGGCTAGATTATTCTCTAAGGGTATAATCGGGGTGAGGTTTAATTTTCAAGAGGATTCGATTGGTTAAATTGTCAGAGGTCGGGTAAAGCCAATAAACAATTTATGTAATTATACTCATAAATTGTTCAAATTTATTTCTGGAGTGCTAAATATTGTCAGTGCCTGGGCACAGCACACAAACTGGGAAAAAACTAGTGGAACTGAAGTGTCATCGAAAAGGGCGCGAACACTAACAGGTCTGTGGTTAACCAGTCAGAAATGCCGCCAATGAAAGCGAACTCATTTAACCATAACCACAGGTGTGAGATTTATTCAAATTTAAAAGTTGTCCGTAATAATGAAGTCACAATATCAAGTCAGTGACAAGAGAGCATAAATACATTAGAACACAATCTTTTGATTTAGCTCTTGGTGAGAATTTAACCTGTAAAAAGTCAATTGTCCTGTTGAATACGAATGGAGTTTGATAGTTTTATGCGGACATATGTTTATCGGTAAAACGAGCATTTTTTGACGTCATGCCATCAAATTTGCACTCTTTAACGTATCTACACCATCTTGCCGCTGACTTGATCATTATGTCTTCATTACAATGGGCATCTGTGCTATAATGCAACTGACGTTTGGTACTTGGAACTCATACCTGCTTTAACCTTGGTACCCACAGGGATGTCCTTGAGGACACCAGCTGCATCTTTGACTGCGAGAAGGCTCCAGATGGAATCAAGGGCCGACCTCACAGCCTGACAGACAGAGTCAGTGGCCCGAGCACCCAGACTCATCATCAAATCATCAGCAGCAAGTGCAATCTGTACAGCTGTCTTCAAAGAGGCCTGAAGCTCTGGAGGGATTTCTTCGTTCGCACCTGCATCGGAGGTCACTGCTGCATTTGCATCCGCTGCGTCCTTGTCTACCGGGCTACTAGTCGTTGCCACCGGTTTCGGGCGACTTGGTGCTTTGATGAAAAATGAATGGGCACATTAGCTACGAAAAAATTCAGGAGTTTGGCATCTGCAACGCCTGTTGTAGTCTCTGTCCAAATATAGGTTAACTGCTGCCTGGTTTCAACGCCAATAACGCCCTAGTGAAGCACGTCTTCAAAACACCAGCTTTCTGATCTTGAAATTCGACTTCTTGAAGCATTCTGTTTAGTTGTGCTTGAAAGTGCTTGCCATTTTCCTAGTTGTTCAATCTATTCACACACGTTTTTCAGCGCGTGCTGCTTGTACTCTTCGATACAAAAGCGGAGAATGAAGCTAGAAATACTGGGTATCGGCGAAAGTTACAAAGTTTAAAAATTGTTTTTCTAACCGAAATATCAACACTTGACACGATTGAGTAAAATCAATATACTATCAGCTGTAGGTATCTTTCAATCAGCTAACCTCCACTTGGGTCCTGGCTTTCCATATGAGCATATCGGATTTGGACTTCTTCGGCAATCGCTTTCGCAAGGTTATTCTGATCGACATATTTGTCATAGTCTTCTAGGAGCAGATTAAGCATCTCAACAGTGGCCTTAAGTGCGGTAGTAGTCAAAGCGTTCATACGTTCTGCGGCTGTGGTGATCTGACTCTTGGCCATGTGAACGAGTTCGAAAATCTCCGGTGTCGGCTCTTCCGGTCCCGGCAAAACGAGCATTTTCGTATGGCTGAGCTCAGACAGCACATGGTCGATCCTGTTGGTGCGAATGTCAGCAAGTTGCTTGAGCAGCCGTTCAAAGTCATTCAAAACACTCAAGACATTCTAAAATTGGATGCAAACTACTGAAAATATTGATTTCAACGGTGGTCGAAAAAAACTACGCATCTGCAAATAAGTGTTCTAAGCATTATAACTTCATGTGGAAAATTTTAGTAACCAAAAAATTTAGCCACCTAGTAACTCTGCTGTGAACAAGATTAATAACAGAAAAAAATCTATGATAATTGTGGTTGTCCTTCTCAGGGTGAACGCACTAACGTGTTTTGTAACCAGATTATAGGATAGTTCTGGAGTACATGTTAGTTTGTCTAGTTTGGCGAGTGTTTTTATGGCACGTGACCAGACGCTGCAAATTTCTACTTCGTGATCAAGGGTGCACATAGAATTTTACAAAAAGCGTAAGACATCGAGTTAATAACGGCTTATCAATATTTATAAGTGTATTCGCAAAATAAGTAAAGCAATCACGTAAGTGGGATGTGAATTTGTCTGCACACAGAAGGCAGTTATTGCTTAACTATTTACCTGATTATCGTGCATGCAACCTAACTGCATTGTGTTGACTATTTATGGACAGTCTTTCGATTCAGGTGCAAGTTTTGGCGTTTTATATGTCCAACTCTAGCGCGTTTTGTGAAGCACTAAAAAGAGGATGATAACTAGCCCTTGCACTGATTTAGGGGAAAAAGTAAGGACTTAGGTTCAAATAGAGGGTTTCGGAAACATTCTATAGGACTGCACTACGACTTCAATCATCACATCTCAGTGACATTCAAGCGCAAAACTCACAGCGACTAACGAAGGCACTAGCAAACCGTCGATCATCACATCAAAGATCTACGAAAGGTGCTAAACACTTTGCCAGTTTGGGTTCCGAGCAAGGTTGACGCACACAAATAGGGTCGCAATGGGTACTTTTTTTTCACTACGGACGATCCTTCCTTTACTCCATCATAATCACCAAGCTTGACGTCAGCTTTTTATCGCCTTTCAACACTATGGACTGAAGTTTTCAACGTGGAGTTAGTGTGGGAGTTTTGGTATTCAAATTCGATGGAAATTTTACTTCTGAAGGCCAGGAATTAGTTATAATGACAGTGTAAATGGTGATTTGTGTCTAACATTATTTTTAATTTGAAATCATTTATAACACAATTTAAAGGATCAGCTTAAATTGGGATCTCATAGGTGGCAGAAAGGTATTCAAAGGAAGGCAAATTTTGTTGTTGTGTTTTTGACAAGCTTGGTTGTGTGGTTATTGACCAAATTCTATGCTAAGTAACTGCTTACATTGATATAGCTCATGATCTTGGTGCTGTGCCAGTTGTGCAGATACATCCCGGGTTCAAGAGCTCGATTGATTCTCATCATAGTGGGTATAGCCATTACATGGTATTCCTTAGGTATTGTGCTGGTAATCTGGACGTATCTGTCACACAGGTACTAGAATGAAACGAAAAGGCCACAGTAAGTCCTCATCAGATTTACAAGGGGTTACCTGTACTAATTGCTTACTTTGAGCTGCTCATAGTGGTGTTTGATAAAGTCAGCTTTAAAAAGAATTTCTTTAGCAAATTGAGGAATGGGACACTGGAGTTTGTCCAAGACGAAAATCTCTCGTAGAAGGCCAATTATGTCAGGATCCAAGTTAACGAAGAGTCGGCCAAATGGCTGAGGCTGTTCGTTGTAGACGATAAGTGAAGCTGAGAGACCATTCAGCTTTTTGAAAATCTGTAATATTTGACCGAAAAATTCATTTAAGTATAAATTCGAGCCTAATTATTTCAACTTCAAAATGTCTTGGCACTTATTTCTTTGGAGCAGTAGGCACTCCCTTCCGCTACTACCTTCAAAGTCATTAATTGTGTGGATTTTTTAGAATGGCCTAATCTGATTGACCTTTATGGGGTTAGGAATCTTAGGAATTTCACTTGATGTTATTCAAAGGCTTTTTTTCAATATTTCGGAAAAACCCGCCCATGCAAAAGCTGTTCCATCAACTAGGATCATTTTAGGACGTAGTGTTGGAAGTAATGGGCAATATTCCATCCTCGAAGGAAGTATATTTTAGAAATTTGGGTGGATTTATTCTTGTTGTCTTTAGTCTCGGTTGTGTTGGTAATAATTACAATTTGGAATTTATGCAATGAGTATGGGGACACGTAATTCTTACGAGTTTTGACCAGGTCTGGTAGACGGTAATCTCATAGCTGACAAGTTTCGAGGCAGCATCATTGTAAGCGGAGACAATCTCTTGACCCTCGGAAGAAACAAGGGCTCTTGCTGCTTTCGTACAAATGACATTCATTGGGTCCTCAAGGCGTCGGTACAGATTTCTAGCCCAAGCAATGCGACCAGCAAAGTGTGGCATGTTTCGTTCCATCGGAGGGGACCCAAAACTAGACTGAAACAGTTCCATGATGGTCCCTATTTCGTGCAACAACTTAAAGCACAGCTGACGATACCGCTCACCGTGCTCCAGGCCTGGAATTTCAATAGTCTCCAACCCTTCCTGCATGGTAACTGCGTTCATCAGACCATTTGACTTATTAAAATTGGTATTGATGGTGTTCAGTAGCATACTCTGCAGGTAAAATTTTAAAATAGGGATTACGTGGTTTCCAGAAAAGGCTTAAATACAAGAGAAAAATAGGGATTCCTACATGGATTTCAGATATTTTTTCTTTGAAATCTTCGTAATCGGTTTCGAACATTGAGTTTCGGTGGTCAAGATAGTCGTAGGGTTTGGAAACGATCATATTATTGAGTCGATCAAGCCTGTTGATAAGCGGATCCTTACCTGACAAAAACAAAATGCTTAAGATAAAGTTGCGAGTGTCGTTTTAAATAAAAGCGCTCCTGACTGCTGGTGTTAGATAAATCCTGATAAAATGCAAACGAATTGTCAAAATTGAATGTTTAAGCAATTTCTTCAATGGTTTTCTGTCGATTAATAAACAGCAAATCACGGGTTAGGACGTTATAAATGCTCGCGACTCGCCATGTCGAATTCGATTCAACTAATTTTAACTGTCCTAGAAGCAGTTGCAGATAAAACACTTACCTCCTGTTTAACATCGACAAATCAAGGCGACTTTTCACTATCAAGGAACACCACTGAAATAAAACGCGCATGCTTTTTTACCGTTGAAAATCGGACATGAACTTTGTAACCACCCAATACTAATATGTTTTTAAGCTTTACCACAGAAACAACCAGGATTTAATTTATCCTGCCCAATCCGACAAATTATTTGTCATTGGAAGTAAGAGAATGTGATGAAGTAAATTGGAATTCAAGTAATTACCTCATATTTCCCCAGAGCTACTAAATATTAGGCTTACAAAAGCTGCATCGCCCTGCTGGTATTTGGGCTCCATTATGGGGGCTATCGCATTTCATAAACTTGCACTGGTTTTAACTTCCACGAAGAAAGCGAACGAGTCTATTTTATGACAGACACTTTTACACTGGAACTCGAACGAGAACTTGACGAACCTTCGAGGACGAAGTCACGGATTAGCGAATATTGCTTCAAAGTTTTGAGCACCCTTGTAAGGTAATCAAGACGCTGGGTGAAGAGATTCATGTTGCCGAATATT